ATCGACATGGTGGGACAGATATTCAAGTACAGCAGAAAACAACTTATTTTTTAAAATGACTTTATTACACTGGATAGGATCTTACCGTACCCGGTCTGTTTTAAAAGATGGGGCGGAATCGGTCCCAAAACTTTCTGCATCATGGCCAGATGTTCTCCACAGTCATGGCTCTGAAAAATAACTAATAATTTAGAGTAATTCAGCCGTTTAGCAGTGAATCATAGTTTGCATGTTTGTGCAAACTTACAGGGAACAGCGTCCGTCCAAGGTAATACTCCATAAGGACACAACCCAGACTCCATACATCACATGACTGGTTCCAGCCCAGATCTCAACACAAACACATAGTAAAGCTAACAGTTGAAATGATTAAATTTCAGGGTGTCAGTTGGAAGCATACCCAGTATCACCTCTGGTGCTCTGTAGTGCCGCGTCGACACCAGCGTCTCATGATGTTGGTGGTCAAATGTGGCGTTTCCAAAATCCACAATCTTTACGTCTAAACATCTCAGCGCTTTATGCTGACAGTTCAGATATACACCCACACACATACATACAGTACAGAGCGAAACGTCACAGCTTGGCCAACCTTCTCATTATGGCATTACTGTTGTGGTGTGTTTAGGGAAGTCTTTACCATCTGTTGGTTGGAATCGCTGTCGCCGCTCACAAACAGAATGTTCTCAGGCTTTAGGTCTGTGTGGGTCAGCTTGTTACGGTGTAGGACTGTTGAAGAAAAATAAAGTTAGAAAAGGTTCTGTTAGGTTTATTATTTATACATCATGTGCGTTGTTATTCTGTTAGCCAGATTAGACAGAGCAGAAGGCCTTCCTTCACATGGTGGATGTCACTGTGTGAACGGAGGTCATCTAATCAGGACAGCCTTCATGTCTTTAAAAATACACAGGATATTGGAACATCTTGGAGCCGGTCTGATAGAGGAGAGCTATCTGTATCTGTAACCCTGAGACAGAGAGGCAAGCTGCATATGGATCAGGGCATGGATGGCGTGTCAGTTTCTGATACGGACAGCTAAGCATCCACCTGCTGCAACACATAGACTCATGAGCTATAAGAAGCAGGAGATGACCTTCATCGGGGCTCAATCTTTGCCGGACGCTCGCGGACGTGATTTTTGAGCCCACAGCTGTGCAGCTCCAAGCATTTTCTCTGTCCTGTAACGACCTGATCTGGAATAAACTCTGTTATTTTTTACTCCTGTTTTATAGTCCT